TGCATACATGGAGGTAGAACTCCATGGCATGTACAGAGTGTGCCAAAAATTGCAACATTCAGAAACAAATAATTAAAACTGTTTATTCTTTTTTGTTTAATGGAATTATATATAGCATTAAAGCCTGACTATTTCTCAATCCACTCCTTTTTACCTCATTCCATTTGGTCCCTAGATCCAGACATAATATCAATTAAGTGAAAGGGTGTACATTTTACTTGGGCCACTCTCACCTGTGATGTCACCAATTTCAATGCCTATTCAGTGGTTAACCCAGATTCAGCAACCCAACTTTACACCCTTTCACTTAGTTGATTGTATATTTCTGGATCTAGGGACCCAAATGGAATGGGGTAGAAAGGAGTGGATTGAGAAATAGTCAGGCTTTAATGTTATATGTAATTTTATTGAAGAAAACAACATAAACTAGTTTTAATTATATTGTTTCTGAATTTTGCACTATATTGGACACACTCTGTATAATATCGAAAGTGGTACGTGTTTCACAACACGGTACATTTTACAGTATTAGACGCGTTTCCGGCGTTTTTTAACGTTTTGGGAATCGTCCCACAATGCATTGCAGTGCTTGACGTACTTCCGGTCCACCCGAGGACTCTGGTAGAAGTTCAACTGAGTATCATTTAACGTTACGCAGAAACGACACAAGATAACGAAAGCATTGGAATGACAGGCTTGTAAAAAAAAAAGAGCGACGTTCATGTTTATCTCTGCAAGCGTAATTTTGTAGAATTATTCATGACGTAACTACGTGAGGACATACGTCATAGGTCATGGACTTACATTTCATCCTTTAATCTTCATACTATTCCATCAATGTCCAAATTCAACACAGTCATGCGAAGCTCTTTTTTTAAATGACAGAGTACCGCGGGGACTGCCCAAGTCGTACCAGGTTGAAACTGTTTCAGTCACGGACTAAACATTTTCATAAACATCTAAATATTGAAGGCGCGGATCGTGTTCGCTGTACCAATTTCTTCGCCGCCACCTCCTTTATGAAAATATCGATCGCTCCCACGACACGTATATTATATTAAAAACAAAATCCCAAACGGATCGGTTGTGACACTCGCACGAGAAACCGAAACATGTCCGCCAATTTTCACCGCTAAATCGTGTCGTCGGATTTCGCGCTGAAGTTGCTACGGCACAGTTCGCCAGACGCGCGGGCGATCTACTCGACGAAGGGCAATTTCCGCACACGAGTGCGCCGGTATGGCACTTCAGATCTGGAGGGTAGCGGATGGATGTAATAACTGGAGGAATGATCGCAGAGTGCTGTGCATCTATCACACCGGAGGGGCTTGCTTGTCATATTAGTTGGGGAAATTATAGCTGCGTGAAATTATAGGGTAGTCGCGGGCGGTATAATTAACCCTAGATTTGCGGAACACCTCTAGCTCAAGATTCGGCTCTCTCTAGCCCGCCCAACCCATCAAATACAAAGACCCGTTTGTGGTTAGATTGGAGTGGAGTGAAAGCTTCATATTCGAAGATTTTTTTTGCCGACGTTCAGGAGAAAATAAAAAACAAGGCAAGCTGTAGAGCTGGTCCCAGAGTGCACATGATTCTCTTCGATGGATTCAGAGTGCTACTCGCTGGAAGTCTTTTCATGCATGTGGTCTACACAATGCACCGGATTTAGACCATTTCGGGGTAACCCTATACAATAGCACTGCCCGGATCTCTTCCTAAGCCTACAAACAGTCTGTCACAACTCACAATTAGTCAGTGAGATAGGTAACCAGGGTTAGTCACGAGTGAGAGTCAGGGAACCAGTCAGTGACCCAGTACCACATCAAATCAGCTGCTGTAGACTTTTAAAGCACGAGTCGAATTCGGGCGATTCACAATGCAGTGCGCCACCAACAATTTGCCACGGAGAGTTCATTTTTCCCAGTGCATTGTGGGAGATGGTCGACAAATTCACAGCGTGGGCTGTTTGAAATTAGTTTCGTAAGCGTATGATTCGAGGATCTGTTTACCCTGTCCTTTTCTTCTTATCAATATGGTGTTTTTTTTGTAAGGCGGCAGACACTATGCTCCAACCTATAACAAATTAGATCAAGTTGTCTTCTGACTCTCATGCAAATGGACCATGTTTTGTCGACCGTAAACCTGAAAAATTGACTCTCCATGGCAAACTCTTTGTGGCGCACTGCATTGTGAATCGCCCGAATTGAAAGCGAGGTAAACTCGGCATTTTCGGAACTTGCAAGGTGAGTAGAAATGAAAGCAATGAAATAAAAGTTCATTTCAAATTAATACCAGTCTGCTCTGATGAATAATCAAACATTTGTGATTAAACATGACCTAATGTTTTAAGCCACATTAAAAAAAAGAAACGAAAGTGAGGCTTGGCAGACACTCCAATCATAAAATAGCCTGGCACCATCCCATTCACAGGTTTAAAATTCATGTAAGAGATTCAGGGAACACGATTTAAAATGGCTTTCTCGTGAAAAAAGGTATATCTGGTCCAAAGAATTAGACCGACCATTATGCTTAGTTTGTTTCTGCATTCAATAGGGGACGTTGAACAATAGAGGACAATATATTTACGATCCCCAATTTCCGAAGGTCTCCAATTTGGCGATCGTGTACAAAACATATGGTATGTCTTCCTAAAAATTTCGAGTACAAACAAAAGAGGGACAATAGGGGGTCCCCGATTGCAGACAATACACACTTGGGTGCGTGCTCTTGTATTGTATTACGCTCGAAGACAGACAACAAAAGGAGCACAAAGGGGCCTTTGATCCTCGGACGACGGAGCCTATTGTTAAAACCGGTCCTCGATCGTACGGTTATGTGCTTAGTCTATGGGAAAGTTTTATATTAGAGGGACAAAGGGAAACACAATGGGTTGTCCTCAGGCGTATAGTAAAACACGACTGTGTGAACATGCGTTGGGTGTCGGTGTACTATGAGCCTCTTCGCCCGACTGCGAAAAAAGATGACATTTCCAGATTTTTCTTTACCTTGAGTGTCCCCTCCCAGTGGGGAAAAAGACATTAAAAGCTGCCCGAGAGGTCGGGATTACTACGGCCTTCTGTCGGTAAGCCGAGAGAAAATATTGAAAGAGGGTTTGCGATCCCATCTTAAGTCCGCGAGATGACTGCTTTGCCGCGCCCGGGGCATGCAGCCAACACAAGGTGTCCATTGAGGATATGCACTGTCGCTCTTTCTTTTAAAGGGAGGTTTTTGTTTATTGTGAAGATAATCGTGTTTTCATAGGTCATTGTTGCAATTTCTTAGTCTCGCGACGCCAAAGAAAAACAGTAGTGAGTTGTGACTGAATGATTCATCAAAAAGCAATTTCAGTTTGCAATATATCAGAATGATACGTCTTTTTTCTGTTGGCTTTTAAATGACTCCACAAATTTATGACCTATCCAATAATACACAAAACGATAGCCCACCAATTCTTAAATTGTACCAAAAGAAAACATTAAAACATTAACTGGTTCCCATCGGCATTTAACTGGTTTACCTGTCTTCGTTTTGTCATCAACACACCCCCCAAAAAAATGCAATACGAATTTCCAAATGTTTATTCAATTTGAGTCGACAAATCTGTCATCTTCAGATGCAACTCTCTGATAACGTATACTGGTCCCGAGGCTATTTTGTGGCGCTACCGTACCCAGACAGTAACCATAATATGTCATCACCTGATTGAAGTTATATTTTTATTAACTTCTACCGCATAATCTAATAAATCATCGACATCAACAGTAGTAAAATAGTACTCTGGCAGATACGGCGTTGGGCTTGTGACGGCGATTTGCGGGATGCGGGTCCCAGTTTTGTCTGGTTTGGCTTTTAAAAAGTCTTGGATTTAAGTAATTCTGTCAACCTCGAAGGGAGAGTGACTAGGATCGTTGTTAAAATTTTTAACACAGTTGAAAAAAAAAGAAATGGACTGGAGCGGGGCTTGAAACTGCGACCACCGGATTACGGTTCCTGTGCTCTACCAACTGAGCTAATCCTGTCTTTGTTGACCTTCATCCTCACGTGTTTCCGAGTCTGTCTCAATGTCACGCACTCTATATTATTTTACATTACGCACCTGCTGCAGTATAGATTATACATCAGCTGCACGAATGTTGCAGCAAATACACAAATTGAATCAAGAGAGAGAGAACTCTTCTTTCGGAATACATGCATTTATATATTTTTCTATAAATTTTTCTATAACCACTACAGAGTGATTTTCCATCGTAATCGAATGATCGAATGTTGAATATTGAACACTTTCATTATGAGGAGTTCAACAACAAAGGCCGGAGACACGATGGGGATCAGATTGCTTTGAATAAAACAGCCTTTTCAGATAAGACTTGGGAAAACTTGTTAACTTGCTGTCATAGTCACAAAGAGTTACTCTTGTGAAGTCAAGAGTCGGGTCACAAATAAGATTTGACCCGGAATATGGGGTCTATTTGGCCTGACACTTTTCCGGTCAAAATGACACTTTCCCGGGTCAACATGACACTTCACTGACTAATTTTTTTCGGAACATTTTGACCCGAATGTGTCATTTGGACCCCAAATAAGTGTCATTTTGACCCGGAACAGTGTCATTTTGACCCCAAATACGTGTCATTTTGACCTCGAATAAGTGTCATTTTGACCACAAATAAGTGTCATTTTGACCCCAAATACGTGTCATTTGGACCATGAAAATGTGTCAGGCCAAATAGAACCCAGTTTGCGGGTCCAATCGGACCCGGACGTTTTCCACTGTTAGTCACTAATTTACTTGAATCTGGATAAATCCTGAGTGGTAACTGCCAATATGAATGCCTTGTGATTGAGTTACGGCGATTTGAGATTACCTTAATTGCGATTGCCTTGTGACTGTCATGTGATTATTGTGAGTGACTCATGCCAAGACACGTGATCGACTCGTGACTGACATGTGATGAGTGATGACTTATGATGATATTTTACATCCCATTTCGTCCCCGCAGTTCACACCGCGTCGACAGAGCTTCTGTCCAGCGGGACGTTCTGCATGGTGGACCCCACAAAGGCCAGGGACCTTCCCGGTAACTCATACTACTGCCCGGCCTACAACGAGGACGGCTCGCTCAACACGTTCACAGAGTGCTGCAGCGACGGGAGACCGGGACCAGACTACCAAAAGTGCTGCCAGACTGGGGAGGTCAGATCAGAACAAAAGTAAGTCAGGCCGTGTCCGAATGACTTTGATACGGCCGTCAATAACGCACTCGAGTCTCTATGCGAAGTGACTGTAGTCGCTCACCAGTGGCTTCCATAGGTCCGTGTATAATTTCTAGCCGAAGCCAATTAATTTGGACACGGCTTAAGTCAGAGCCTGTGGGAAGTATCATGGCGTCTGTGGAACAGCAATGAGCCTTAATGGAACGAATGAGGGCAATCGTACGACACCATTTTCAGTACATAAACACTAGATAAATCCTGTTCCTTAAAAAATGACATTTTTATATTGTAGCAAGATACAACTCACACATTAATGACGACATTTTCTTGGAGCAAAATAATGAAACCAGACATTTTTATATAACATGTTACTTTAAGTAAATGTTCACATTGTTTGTTAACGTTACTCGACCGACGCTGTGATAATACAAACCTCCCATACTTTAACCCTCCTTTCAGCGATTTCCGGAACATTTAAGGCAACCCAAAACGGAACTTCCTTTTCCGGGCTTTAACAAGTTCAAAAAGCTTTTTCCTGAGGTCTTTCGTACGTGGCTTCCGCTAATGACGAGTGTATGTTGCGATCGTCCTCAAGATTATTCACTGTTCGACACATGGACACATTATAATTACTCAAACGTTTTCTATCAATAACAAGTCAAAACCTTAAAATGTAACGGTAGGCCTACCGTGCTAATGACGAACCCAGAGGTAGAGCTGTATGAACACGTACGTGACAGCAGAGCAGGTGCAAGCGCATGGGCTGGCTGTCCTTCAAATTCACTCTTGTTAATTTATCTGTTACCTTTCTTAAGCCAGTAGCTTCAGGGGAGCTTCAAAATAAAGTCCCCGTCAGTCCCAGAGAGTAATTACAGCTAGGCGTACAGCTGTCTCCAAATCAGCTATATACACGAAACCAGTCCGGACTCAATTTCATGTGCAGCCGCTATAAACAGAAAGTATAGCTTAGAATATTTATGAGCTGCACACAAATCAGCTGGGGCCTATATGCTTATAGACATAGCAGGGCGTTTTCCCTGGTAACCATTTTTTGCTATACAGCTGCTTTCAATGCTTAGCATTCTTGGGTGCGTGATTAGCAGCACCACCAAAGAAAGCAGCCGAGCACCACCAGAATTTGGGCCAACTTCTACGGATTTTATGCTAAACAGAAGCACACACAAAAAGTTTGGCTGAACTGAAAAGAAGATCAGAATGTATTACGATGAAGGCATACATCACAATGTGCATGATAGCAAGTGGGGTATCGTAGCTTATACCAATCCTGAGGGGAAAAAATACACCAATGAGTAATGTGCACTCAGGGAGGCCTCCACTAATGGCGGATACACTTTGTCCTATTGTTACGAAACAATGAAGACATTTTGTACAATAGTTGGCACAATGCTTCAACTATTACGTTGGTACACTGACGAGTTTACATTGATTATGTACGTTCTTTCATTGGTTCTTAAAGGGGATGTACATCATTGGATTTTGCTGTAATTTTCAGAAATGAACTATTTGAGGGGTTAGTATGATAGATTAAAATATTGTTACAGTGACATGTTTGAAGTTTTGTGTTCGAAAATGCTGGAAAAACCAAGAGAAACAAAATTGTTCAAGTAGTCTGGTTCCCTGACTCCACTAAAGATAAAATGGATCAATTTATAGATGCCGGAAAATTGTAAGGTAAGGGAACCAGTCTAGCTGGCCTGAACCCGTTCATGAACATGTAACCAATAGCAAACAAAATTGGGTCTGAAAAAATTGGTAAATTTGGAGCAGAAGTTGAAAAATAGTTGGTCGGCCGACTGTCACTTACCAACATCCTAGTGTAGTATTTCATAAAAAGATGGTAGTTTTATTTTTCGATGTTTGCAAATGCTGTATATTCCCTTTAAGTCTTGTCCTGCTTGGGCTTAATTTATTTTTAATCCAAGGCATATGACTTCAAAGCTGCACAAGAAGCTAACTAGACTCTGTACAGTGTTGTGAAAAAAAAATCTGAGATTCGTAGCGTAGATTTTACCTTAGCCAAGTCTTTAATCTACACACACCCTGCAATCATCTTTCGAGCTATATAACCAAGCAGCTGATGTCCACAAACACGACCGCCCGCTGGAATGCACTGAAGGCTAAACTGATAAAAATAAAAAAATAAATAAAAAAACCACCCCTCCTCACGCCCCGCCGTGTATATCTTATTCATGAAGAAAATGATTTCAGGGCTAATTGGACTATTGCTACATACGGGGTTGTCATAGCGACCAGGGCATGACAGAAAATAGTAAAAAGGCCGCCGGAATTACTTCCGCGCGGCACCTCACAATGGAAGGTATCGATTTCCAGAGATGTGAATTATTGATGGCGGGAAAAATTTGGAATAACAGTCTGCAGGCTGAGCCCTTGGTAGGAAGTGCTGGCTGAATCCAATAAAGTATTGAGAATGTGGATCAGTTGCGACGGACCTTCAGTTCTGAACAAATTAATATGCTACGGCAGTTGGGTTTGTTTGTTGTTGATTTATTTAGGTTAATATGAAATTTTAAAACATCGCTGGTTCCGATGTCTCCTCGTACTTTCGTACCTATCAAACTGACTGATTCACTGACTGAATGTCACTATTCAGCCGGGCAGTTCTATCGTATATGATTACCCCGTAACGCCGCTGCACGGGCTGAACACGGCCCACGGTTCGGTGTTCTTGAGATCGCCTGATCTTTTTTTAAAAATCGCTGGTTCCGATGTCTCTTCCTTGTTTTCGTACCTACCTCGCTGACTAAGTCACTGACTGAATGTCACTATTCAGACGGGCAGTTCTATCGTATATGATTACCCCGTAACGCCGCTGCACGGGCTGAACAATGCCCACGGTTCGGTGATCCTACAGATCGCCCGATGTCTTCCACAAAATGTTTTGCAGGAAACGCAGTGCATTGTGGGTAACTTACCGCCGTAATCCAGGCACGAAAAAATAGGTCATATTCTAGAGCGAATTAAAAATCCCGTTCATTAAAGCAATTTAGTAACTTAAATTATAAGTAATAATCTTCTTTAAAAAAATGTCAGAAAGTTGACTGGGGATGATAGTGTGCCAAAGGATTTGACAAAAACAAACTGCAGTATTTGGGCCATGTTTCAAGAAGATAAGGAGATAATCTTGAGAAGGATTATTGATCAAGGAAATGTTGAAGGCAGCCGTTCACGTGGCAGACAGAAACTCCGCTGGGCTGATGAATTAAAGGAGCTGACAGGCATGTCTCTGACCTCAGCCTACCGGTCAGCTTTGGATAGGCAGAGGTGGAACTCCATCATCAAAAGGGTCACAGTGAGTCGCTCATGACTCTCAGGACTACGACGACGACGAAAAAAAAATTAAGTGAAGTATTGTGTGAACGTACGTTAATAACTTTTGATTCACGTTTGTTTGCACCTCCAAAATGGCGTCATCATACAGCGCCCTCTCTCGCTCAAGAATAAGTTCATGCGCACGCGCAGTGCGCAGACAGAAGTGCATGTGCGTGCTGACCCAGGATCACCAAGTGAAGCAAAACATTGTCCAAAGCAAAAAGCTTCACCCTCTCGCTTGCATAAGGTATCAATGAAAACTCCCCGGGGCACAACTCGAAGGAGACTCCGTGTTGAGACAGGCTCTCCCCCATCTCCCCCATCTGAATTTCAATCGTATTTTTGTTTCCAACACCTGAGATCGAAAGCCACACGGGTAAGCTGCATTATCATCGCCCGATAGTGTATAAAAAATTCATGAAGATGGTCTCTCGAAAGTGTCGAATTTGGCACTGTTTACCGAGGGCACCAAAATGCCAGGCGTCGTGGGAATAACAAGATCGATGCAAATTCCCTATTATTTATTTTAGCTAACAGGTGATACTGTGCAATTTGAAGCACGGCATGGTGGAAGGTATCATACCTGGCCTACGGGTATGGCATTCCAGCTTTCATCGCGAAGGAATTTTGTCTTGCTGTGAACGGAGATTAGAACTACAGAATGTGCCCCAAAAATGGCAAAATTCAGAAAACAAACAATCAAAACTGCTTTTTTTCTTTAATGAAATTATATATTACGTTAAAGCATGACTATTTGGCAATCCTTTTTACCCCATTCCATTTGGGTCCCTAGATTTAGAAATACAATCAATTAAGTGAAAGGGTGTAAATTTTACAAAGGCCACTCTCGCCTGTGACGTCACTAACTTCATATACTATGTCTATTCAATGCCTATTCAATGCTTAACCCAGATTCAGCCATGTCCAGGTCGGAATGGTTCAAGTAAAATTTACGCCATTTCATTGTATTTCTGGATCTAGGGACCCAAATCGAATTGGGTAAAAAGGAGTGGATTGAGAAGTGGTTAATGTAATATGTAATTTCATTGGGGAAAAAAAAAACATTAAACAGTTTTAATAATTTGTTTTCTGAATGTTGCACTCTTTTTGGCACCCTCTGTATATAAATCGGCGAATGCCGGATGAATGCTAGACATTTAAAAAAAATTACCAGGGGAATCAATGTGATTGCAGTTGTTGACGTAAAACAAAAACACAACACTCCTACAGTATCAAATTCGTAGTCCAGAAGCATTGTCACAATTTTTTTTTTGGGGGGGGGGAGAGTAGAGATGCAAAGTTTGTTGAAAGGTCTAAGATTATGTAGCTTTTTTACTCGGCTGTAGATTTGACTTTTGTTGTTGTTTAATAGTGCAGTTCAAGGAAATGTCAATAAGAGCCTAACACCCCCGTGTCAAACTGTAGAATTTAATTTGATTCGTCTTTTTAAATTAAATTTTCACCAAGATTGAGGGTGGGGGACGGGCTTGCAATCGACTGACCTGCGAGTCTTCTTCAGCAATTCCCTCAACGAGTTTTCCGCACACTCTGAACTTCTAACCTATAATTCTAAGAAATTGGATCGGCCCCCAAAGATCGTGTGTCCAATATCCTAAAACATATTGACACAATGGAATCCATCTGGG